GAACGTCACTATGAGAGGTAGGGGAAATGAAATTGCCGCATGGTGTTATTGCTTCGTGGTCTCGGTAGATCCTGACCAGATGGCATCTCCCACCCACCTCTACTTCTCGGGAGGATATCTCTGGGCTCACAGTCCACACATTCTGGGACTTTCTCCTAAGTGTCACAAAAAAAAACCCTGAGTCAAATGGTACCATTTTCACATCTGATCAGATGACTTTCAAAGAATCTCAACATCACGATTAGGGATTTTAATTTGAAAAAAAAAAACCAGCATGCTCTTTTTTTCATTCATGATATTTTTATTGAAAGCCCAATAGGAGCTCAATACTGTGCTTTATTTTTTGAACACAGTGGTGAGCACAACAGACAAGTTTCCTTCATGGAGCACACAGTTTTCAGTTCTGTAGGATGCAGACGGAATGGACTTTGGGTAGCAGGGAGGCAGGCAGCAGGGTGTCAGCCTTACACACACCCAGATTAGAGACCCTGCTCTGCCATTCTCCAGCTTTGAGACCATGAACACGTCATTGGGACTTTCTGAATAATAGCTTATAGTTTCTGAATTATAGCTGAGGATAATAAAACCTGGAATAACACCAACCTCATGGGGCTGTGGCCTGCTACAAGCCCGGAAATAGATATTAATCCTTTTTGCCTCTTACCTAATTATTTTTGTCTTTGAAATCACTGAAAAATCTTACTAGTCTATGCTTGAAATGATGGCCTTACCTAAAATATCAAATAAGCTCACTTTAGAAGATTATCGGAGTCATAAGAGATCAATGGGATAAAAACATGTGCTTATCAAACATTGAACTCAAAAGCAATTATATTGTTCTAAAGTGGTACACAAGGGTTTGTTGGTAGACTGGATAGTTAGTTGGTTGGTTGGTTTTCAAGTATGATTTTTTTTTTTTTTTTTGCACACATGGCATTGGAAATCCTTGGGTTGAATGTGTCCACTGGGCAAGAGCTGTAACACTTCGAATGGCTCTGAGAAAGGCCACCCTTTGGGTAAAGAAGAATTACAGAAAACCAAAAATCACACCCATATAAGTAAGAAGCATTTCTAGTTTCTATTTGTTTCCTGTGTCTGACGTTACTGGTGAAAGAGCAAGAAAAACCCTTTCTTGATGAGAAAAGAATTACACTTTGTATAAAATTTATCAAATACCAATGTCATCTATTTATTCTCCAGTGTCTTGTGGTTATGTTTCTTTTTTACCTTTATTAAGTGAAAAAGAACTCTGATTTATAAAGTGTTTGATAATGTGCTTTAGGTATCCATTGTGGCTGAAAGCTTTGGAGGGTCAGGGTTCTGCAGAGCAGGGCCATTATGAATCTTTGGGAAGAATGACTTCTTGGGACTGTGAGATTTCCCCATGCTGAGAAGGCTCCTCTCTCGGTCTGTCTGCTTGCTGGGAAAATGCTCATAAATCCACTTAGGAACTTATTCTACTTCACAATATCTATGAATAGAAGAGTCCTGTGGTCCTCTAAATAAGAAACTTGAGTACAAAAATATAGAAGCAGAGGGAAAAAATGCAGGATGAGAAAAAATGGGAGGGAGGGAAAATCATTTGATCATTTCTTATATGTAAGAAGAATGTAATTATAGCACATTTCTCAGACTCACTATAGTTCTGCTATCTCTAAGTTCTTGATTGTCATAATTTCATAGCTAACACCTTTGTTGGATAGTGTCATCAAATACACTGGTCACATAAGGAGTGACATTTGGAGAATGTTTCTCTATCAACCTTGTGACAGAGGGCAGATGTTAGATGCCTTCAAAATTGCCTTTAGAGAATACTTGGGAATGTTTAATAGGATATCACATAACAGATTTTCTATCAAAGTTAGCCATAAAAAATTCTGTGGAACCTTAAACCTCCCCTGTGAATCAAATGGGTAAATATAAATTACCATTCATATATTCAGTTACCACTAGTGAATGATTACTTCTGAGTAATTAAGGAATTGAGAAGCCTAATGACTAGTGTTTGGTAGTCTTACTGGACCTACTGGGGGTCTCTCTAGAAGGTTCTTCTGTGGATAAGATGGCCTTTAATATTCAAGTCATGTTTCTCAGTTCTACTGGCTATATTCAGCAGGGAAATCTTAAATATACATAGCTTGGTTTTACAAGTAATTAGGAGAAATAAACAATTAATGGTAAAGTAGAGAAGCAAAACAATACTTTATGTGTGACTTTGCAAGATGAACCCAAGTCATAAAATGCACAGACATTAAGCTTTCAATCCACAAATGGCTATGAATTAAAGAATACTGCTGCAATATGTTAGCAAATAGATGTTTAACATCTTTTTCATGTTTATTAAGGAACCGTATCTGATAATCCAGTCATATATATTGAGCTTCTGCTATGTGCAGTGCTCAGCTTAATACCAAAGCTGCTCTACAATCAGAAACAAGCCCCTAACTATACTCTTTCCTTAAATTTACCTGTAACATCTTATTTATTATTTTCATTTTTATGAATTCTATAAAAATGTGGATGAATCATCTTAGTTTCTAAATTCAAAATAAATGGAGGAAGCTGAAAAAGAAAAGAAAAACCATGATAAAAGGACCCTATAATGGTTATAAGTTGATGACATAAAAGCAAATTACTTAAAAAGATTTATTTTAAGTATAAATTCCTAGACCCCCCATAGAACACCTACCTTCCCATCAGAATTTCCAAGGATGGGATCTGGGTGTATGGAAAAGATGCACAGTTGAGAGAATTGAATTTGTTTTTGTGGTTTTTTTTTTTTAAATCACCAAATGACACTCAGTAATGTAGAACACTTTCCTATTGCATAGGATAATGTGAATTTATAAAATCCTCCAATAATATACTCTTTTCCTTTTAGCAGGTCATGGCATCTGAACCTTCAGCACCAGTCTACTAGTTATCTACTCAACGGACTCTTTCCTTTTTTAATAATAGAAGACATTGTTACAGCTAATAAAGTCTCCAGTTTGAAACTTTCTAGCAGCCACATGTTAACTCGGGTGGAAAAGCTGTAAGCACAGATGTAATACTTGAGTGTACATCTTGGAGGATATAAAGAATGTTCCTTTCTCTGTCCTTGTGGAGGACAGAGCCCTTGTTGAGATGAGAGAGGCACCTTTGAGTAAATGACTTTCCTTTGTCAAGATTCGTTTTCTAAGTAAATAAATAAATAAGAGAGAAAGAGAGAGAGTGTGTGTGTGTGTAAAAGACCTGAAACAGTGCTGCTTAAAGTGTGGGTTTCAGACTGTGTGCACTGGAAGCCTTGGGGTGCTTCTAAAAAATTTAGATTTCTGGACCTTACCCCAGATGTACCAAGTCAGAATCCCAAGGGTGAGATACAGACATTTACATTTTAAATCAGCTCTCCAAGTCATTCTTCTGCATACCACAGTTTAGGGAACACTGGATTAGATGCTCTTTGAAGTCTCATCAAGCCCAAATTTTTACACAAGTCGGTCATCATTTCAGAACAGACTTCTAATTTCAGTCTGGTGCTGTTATTCTTGCATAGTCCCTCTTTCCTTTTCCTATTCTATTCTAGCCTGTATATTTAGTTACTTCACAATTCTCAGCATAAGTTAACATGTGGCTGCTAAAAAGTTTCAAACTGGAGATTTTATTGGCTATAACAGTGTCTACTATTGTTTTAAAAAAGGAAAATAATCAGTTAATTGAATATTTTTGAATAAGATTATTTTCTGAACCTTCTTTAAAAAGATATTCATTGGGTGAAATATGGTGGAGAAAATACTCACTTCTGAAATGATCTCTCCAAAGAGGCTTTATATTTTTAGCTACAAATTGAATTATGTGCAATACAACCACTTGCAGATATTCAATAAAAAAAGCACGGTTAAGCTGAATCCTGCTGTCACCAAGAATATTTGTATTATACATGAAATGCTTTCAACAGAAGGATTGAGACACTGTTGATTTGACTTATAAAAGGAATATTGCTCTCTTCTCTAAAGGAACACAAAGGAAGGCTGATAAATCTTCAGAAATACTTATTCACTGTAGTTCATATCCTTTAAGAGTGAAACTCACTGTCATGTATTAATTCCACACAGATCAAAGTTTCCATCATTGTGTCTAACCTGGGTGTTTCTAAGCTATAAAGTAGATACTTTAGGTGTCTCAAACTTTAGGTGGTTTGATTTGGGGGATTTATTCCTTTACCTAAGACTCTCAGATTCCCAAAGTATGTCTTTAGTGTCTCTATTTCTTAATGCTACAGAATCCTTAATAGGGGACATAGTACTTTATTCTACAATCTGTGGGAGAAGGAACACAGTGGGTTTCATTTATACTAACTGGAAATAACTTACAAAGTCCCTCCTATGTTGGGTTTTCTTGGGGAGGGGCAGAAGTCAAGAGATGAGTCGAAGACCCCAAACAATGAATGGTGCACCCCTGGGTTGGAGATGGGTGTCATAAAATTCAGGGGAGATTCAGATAGTCAAGTTTTTTTTCATTCCCAGCAAACCACCCTCCTGTCTATTTACCAAGATCAAAAATTATTTGCTGTCTCGCTTCTCCTAATGCCCATGCAAGAAAAATAAGTCCACCTGCTTCTCACTCAATGTAACAGAAAATATGTGCACACCAAGAAAGAAAACCCCACTCTCAGATAAGACTATTTTGCTAGTTGACACAAGTTTATTGAGATTTTGACAGACATATCCACAACATCATGACAAGAGCCATGAGCGTCATGAAAAATTCAAAAGCAATACATGTCGAGTGTCAAGTTTTCTGAAAATGTCCCAACAAACATCGTGCAGGAAAGGCAGCTTGAGGCAGCATCTGGTTTTTCATTCTCTTCCCTTTGGGACTGTGGTGCTAGGTCTGAAACGCAACGACTCTGACCTTGACGAGCAGATGAAGACTAAGGGAGTTGGTACAGGAGGAACCTGCAGAGGTGCTGCTCAGCCTTCCAGGAAGAGACGATTCTATGCCTCAAGGATTTCAGCACATCAGTAGAGAGCAAATGGCCAGTATCTTCTGTAGCCGTTAGCCCCGCAGCCATTGTAGCCGTAGCCCAAGCCGTAGCCCACTGGGGAGTAGGTGCTGCCGAAGCCACAGCCAACGCTGTATCCCAGAGGGTAGCCGAAGCTGCCCCAGTAGCATCCTGGGAAGACAGCACCACCAAAGTTGTAGAGGGACATGGTACTGGGAGTGGAGAGTGGAGGTAGCAGGGGAATGTGTTTCCTCAGTGTGTGATGGAGTACTAGTCTCAGAACCCTCTTTATATACCCTGGCTCTGGGGTGTGGTGAAAAACGTAGTGCCCTCATTTTCATTCTTGACACCAATTTGCATCACAAAAAAGCTCATTAACTTGCTTTGCTCTTGCTTAAGAGGTCTTTACAGTTGCTTAAGAAAGCTCTCATGTGATAGAATGCAAAGAGAAGATACCTTCAAACAAATTATGTCCCTTCCTAAAAAAATTATTGCAGTGACTTCAAAGCATTTGGTCTCATAGACCCTACGAATAACTCTCTGTACGTAGGCTTTGTAATAACCACGAAATATTCTGACACTGTTAACTGTTATGCAGTCTTCTTGCCCTCTGAATTTCCACAACAATACATAGTTGGAATTCAGTAAATATGTGTTGAATATGTTAATAAATAAAAGAATAAATAGATAGTTCATCTCAAAATTAAGGTTTTTCTTAGTATTCATTTGCTTAAAGATTTTTTTTTTTTTTTTGCAAATACAAGACAAATGCCATAGGGCTTATGAGAAATACTTTTTTTTTCTTTGCCTACAGCTACATGGTTTAGGAAACTGGTTGAAAATTTAGTTTCAATTATAGTCCACACCTAAACTATATCTAACATTGCATTTCTAGACCTGCTTCAATTAATATTGTAATTTTTAATGGAATTTATGCATTTATCCCAGTACTGAATTGTTACACAAATATGATTCATTGGTCTGATACACTTTTTTCAAACTACATGTTGAAAATAAAAGGCATGTCCCAGCTACTAGAGAGGTTGCGGTGGGAGGATTGCTTGAGCCCAGCAGTTCACCACCAGCCTGGGCAACATAGTGAGACCCATCTCTATTCTAAATAAATAAATAAATTTTTTAATGGAAAAATGAATGGAAAATTTTGTGCTAAAATGAAGAATATTTTTTTCATTAAGCTAATAAAACCAAATTATCTGACAAGTGTGATGATCTTATAAAGGGCCAGGTGACAATATTAAATCCATGTTGTTTCACTTAGAAAGATCATGCATGCCAGGACAGGAAAGAAAAGTCATTCCTCTTTAAACAGAAATTTAGTTCGCAAATACAAATTAAAGGAAGGATGAGATTGATCAAAACTATGTTGGGTCATGCAAGACCTGGTAAATTATTCTCGGAAGCCTGTGTTGAGTTTCCCCACAATGGCATTTCATAGAAAACTTACAGAACATTCAGCAAAAGAGGACACAAGTCACAGAGATAAAAAGGAATCATTCTAGAAGGCCACAGAACAGACATGCATTACACACTGGGCCCCCAAATTTTAATTTAGATCCCAGGGATAGCTTTGATCCCTGCTATCAGCAGCTAGGGGTCATAGGTTGAATCCAAGAGCAAGGTGAGTCACTTGAAAAAATACAAAACTATGCCAGTGTTCTAACCACTAATAGGTTTATTATGGCAGAAGCATTTTTGAAAACACCTAAAGCGCTGCCCCAGTGCCCTGCTTCATGAGTGTAGCTGTGTGGCTGCTTATGGTGATTCAGCATTTAAAATTCAAATACCACTGCATGTGACTTACAGCTAAATAAAGTCAGGGAATTAAAATTAGATTCATTCCCCAAATATAAAAATCTCCAACAAGAGATCCTTCCCTAAAAATCATACAATGATTTACATTATAGTTCTACTACCATCACATTGCTGTGTTCCATGATGGAAAAGCTGGTAATGTTAGGAAAAAAAAGGAAAATTTGAATTTAAAAAATAGCATCGTATAATGGAAAAGAAAAAATAATTAATTAATAATGCCAAAATTCAATGATGATGCTCTGTTTATGTAGGTTTCTTCCCTATTCACCTGCCCAATCTGCTACCCAAATGCTAGCTTTGCCTTCCCTGGCACAATATTTAGTTCTACCTCTGAGTAGTAATGGTAAATAAAAATTAGAATATGTTGTCCTCTTTAAAAAACTTAAGGCCTATTTAGAGGGAGGAGGCTGAATTTTCTCTAGAAATTCTACAAAAAAATCAAAAGAAAATTTTAGGGAAACATTATCTATCAGTTCACATAAAAACATAATTAATAGCAACCTTACTTCTAGATTGAGCTGACGAAAGCTTTATTCTGATAATGAGCTTATCAAAGGAAGATTCAGGATTTCATAAAGCCTGAAGTGCATACGATGTTAAGAGTCCTCTTGGTGGAAAAGAATACAACATAACAAGTATAAAATTAAGTATAAAAAGTAAACACTTCTTAAGGTACTAAAAGTAATCACTAAAAATTAAGATACTAACAAAAATCACAAATATTACAAAATTCAGGGGGAAATGTTATTTTTATTACTTAACTGCCTGATAAACTCCTATAATATTTTTCTTTCTCATAGACTAGCTTCTGGCTCCATCATATCACACTGTTTTCTCCTCCACTACATATCCTGTGCTGGACGCCACCGGACCATGGGACAAATTCATACTAAGATGTGGCCTCTGGTCCTGTAACCTTCACATCACACACTCTGGGGACTCAGCTGAGCTGTTGGTAGAAGAATTCCGGGAAGCTATTCCCACACGAGAGTGGCTAGAAATGGCTTAAATAGGTACAGAAGTGGCTGCAAAACACATCAATCTATCCCTCCATACCCTAATTAAATGTCTCTCCAATTCAAATCCTCCTTAGCCAGATCCTAAAAATGTCCATGGCCTCTCCAAAGCCACCCAACATAAGGGAAAGGTGGGATTGTAGGGCAACCCAGGTGGAAAGCAGCAGCATTCTAAACTAATTGCAGTTAAAATATCTTCTTTTGCAAATTTCTCCCCAAAATAATCTCATGGGATATGGAGGTTTTAAAAAGAGAACAGTATATTCTCACTTGTGAAATGACATGGTATTAGGCTACTCACTGCTAGATATTTATTGGTTTGGATAAAGTTCACAACTCTTTTCTCTTTTAATAACAACCCTAAAATGTTATTTAATAAATAATTTTATTTCTCCTTTCATAGAGACAGTGTAGGTTTGATTTCAAATAAGGCTTGATATGAATAAAAGTAGGAGAGAAATCTTGGGTTTTTTTTTATTTTCTAAGAAGGAGCAAGAAATGTATTGTGTACAAATTTCAGAAGTACAGTCAATTCTAGTAGGCACAATAAAAAATGTCCTTTCTTATCAGCTTCAAATATAAGGTTTCCAGCTTTAAAATATTATAATTTATTAGAAATGAGAGAAAAATACAAATGGAATATTTTAAATAAGTTTTAGAATGTATGTCAGTGATTATTCTATAATACAAAAATTATCTTATGTTCATTTTTTAAATTATCTATTATTAAAAATGTTTATTGAGCATCTAATACATTCTAGGCATTTTGTTAGATGCTGGAGAGCCAGAGATGATAATTAAATGAGAAATGATAAGTAAATGAAATACTTGCTATATGTTCTACCTTAAAAGTCCTGCTACCCTCTTGCAGACTTCAGGGGTAAAGAAGAGAGGGGTGGACAGTTCTACCTGATGTATGAGGTAATGGCCAGGAATGCTTCATTATGAAAGGAATAGATAAGTGAGCTGGGTTTCAAAAGTGAATATTTTACTGGTGGACATTGGTTAGGGTTGTACTTGAATTTAGGGGATATTCGAGAAAGAGGAAGTGGTTTAAAGCAAAGTCTCAAAGGTGTTAAATAGCCGAGTGTCTTCCAGGAACCACAGATAATTCAGTGGGGCCATTGCCTTGAATATAAAAGAATAATTATTGGAAGATGGGGCTGGAAAGGGAGTCAGAGGCCATCTGAGACTGTGGGTGCTGTGAAGGCAAAGGGGGACATCAGACACCAAGTTAAGGGGTGACATGATCAACTCTGCACTTTGGAAAGATAACCATCCAACCGTGTGGAGGATGAATTAGAATAGGGAAACACCAGAGCAAGAACGACCAGGTTTAATACTCTGTTAGGAATGCTTTTGGCTGCAAGTAACAAAAACCCCAGCTGAGAGTTGCTTAAGCAGAAAGAGTTTATTTTTCACAAATAATGGGAAATAAGAACATAAGCAAGTCCAGGGGAATTCCCAGCATCGGGGCTCAGAGCTGGCTTCACTGTGATTCTCTCAGTCTTCTCGTGGTTAGGATTACAGATACAGACTTCACATTCTTATGCATCAACATCAAAACCAGGAAGGGAAAAGGAGGGCTTCTGCTCTCGTGACTCCTTTTCATTTTCTATCAGGAAGGGAAATGTTACACATTTGCCCATCAGTAGATTTTCTTCAGGTTTTATTGTCCAGAGCTGAGTCTCTTCTCATGGTTGAGCTACAGGGGAAGTTGGAAAAGTGTATATCTGGTATTTTCTGCCTGAATAGTAAGAAGCAGTCTCTGGAAGTATAGAAAGCAGGGAGAGAAATGTTTATTAGATTGATAATCAACAGTGTTACCACAAAAACCATCACATTAACATGCATAAGAGATGATGGGTCCCTAAACTGAAAGGGTAGCATTAGCAAGGGGGTGAATTTCAGAATGGCTAGGGAGACAGTGTGAGTTGATAAGTTTTGTTGACATCATCACCCAATATCACCACAGGGGATTCTGACAAGAGGTATCCATGAAAGACATGTAAGAAAGAGTGCCAAAGTTCAGTGCTTTCCAATCTTTCCCAATGAATTATGCATCCCTATGGTATAGTGGAGCGATCTGATCAGACTCCCAGAGAGGCGCTTTGTCATCCCAGGAGCTCTGGCACCCAAGATCCTGCCAAATCCTGTCCAAATCAGAAACACTGCCACACCTGTAATTCAGTGCTGAGATCCTCCAATTATGAATCTCTGCAAGGTAATTGGGACAATTAGAGATAATAAAATATCCTCTAGAGGACAACAACTAATAATTGCTACAGAAAGCATTTAAAGAACACCCTCATGCTTCCAGAATGTAAAGTTATTTATCCCAAGAAAGATGCTCTCTCAGAACCTTGATCTAAAGCCCTCCTAACTGTTGCCTTTCAGTTACTATTGCCTGATAATCAGATATTGTGACCCTCAAAACGTGACTTTCTTTCAGTTAATTTACTAACTTGCATATAAAATTTAATTACTGTTGTCTGGGGCCTTGTGTTCAGAAACTGCGTCTGGTGTTTGATGTGAAACAAAGTTACGCCCACGCCCTGGGATGACATCATCTGAATAGATTGCCCTGGGCAGCCCTGCATTTGCAAATCCAATCTGTCATCATGTCAATTTTACTTGCTGAAAGTCTCTTGAATACATTAATTTTTATCAATTTCTGCTGTACCACTTCTATTTGTTTCTTATTGTTTCCAAATGCTACAAGAATAACCACAAACTTGATGGCTTAAAACAATACAAATTTATCATCCTACAATTCTAGGGGTCAGAAGTTTGGAATCAAGGTTTCTGTAAGCCCAGTTCTTTCTGCAGGAGCTGAAATTAGAATCCCTTTTCTTGCTTTTTTTTTAGCTTCTAGAAGGCATTTGCATTCCTTGACCTGTGGCCAGGTCCCTACATCACTCCAATCTCTTGCTTCTGTTGTCATTATCTTCTACTACTAACTCCGATCTTCCTGCTACCCTCTTTCAAGGACCCTAGTGATTACACTAGTCCCACCTCAATAATGCAGGACAGTCTCTCCATGTTGAGATCTTTAACCTAATCACATCTGCCAAGTCCCTCGTACAATGTGAGATAACATTCACAGGTTCCAAGGATTCAGACACGGACAGCTTTTGGGGGGTCCATCATTCAGCCTACCACACTACCCCCTGCAAGCTGTCAATTTATTACCTAGACTTCTACAATGGTCTCAGAACTAACCAAGTGATCTTTCCTTCCTTCCAGTCTGCTTTCCATAGCCAAAGTATGTGCAAAATGAAGATCTTGTTATGTTAGACGCAAACACACACACACACACAAACACACACCACACCAGTTAAAAATATTTCAGTAGGAGTGACTTCAGCAAGATGGCAGAGTAAGAAATTCCAGCCTTCACCCTGCCACAGAAAAAGAATAATTAGCTATGGGCAAATGAAAATAGCTCTGGGAGAGCTCAAGAGTTCAGTTAAGAAGCTGCAGCAACAGACTAGAGCAAAACACCTGAGACCAACTGAAAAAAAAAAAAAAAAACATTTAAGACGGGCAGTTTTATTGTTCCTGCACCATCCCATCCCCTAGTCTGGCACAGCTCATTGTGGAGAGAGAACTCCCTGGCCCATGGGTTCCCCTTATAAGGAAAAGGAGAGCAGGATGAACAACCAGCTCCCCCAGCCTTTCAAGGCACAGCCTAAAGGACCCACTTCAGTTTCAACCCAACAAGATCACTAGAGAGACTGGCATAGCTCACATACCTGGATACAGCTAGGAACATAGAAGATGGGCAGGGGCATCGGACTCAGTCACATAGCAAGACCTACCACAGGCTCCAATGGCTTCTCTGCAGAGAATCCAGAAGCCTTCACTGCTGAGGACCACTGCACACCACTGCACACCCCCGACAGCTTTCATAGATGAAGACTCCACAGTATGTTTTGTGTGTTTCACTAAAGCTGTGTGTTTTGTTAAAGAGGACACCTTTTCAAGTACCTCACTACAGAACATTATGACTTTCTCAAAGTATGACTGAAGTACCACCTTTATTGGAATCACCTGGGCTGCTCATTGAAAATACAGATTCCCTGGCCCCATGTCAGACTCACAGAATCAGAGCCTATGCAAACAGAGCTTAGAAATATGCCTTTTAAAAAAGTATTCTGGAAGATTCTTGCATAGATTAAACTTTTAAAACTATGATGGTATTCTTACTAAGGTTTCACCATTTCTGCGATTTCCATCGCTGCATTTTGTTTTTTAAAGTGATGGCAGCTGGGAGCTCATTAGTTTGTCTTAGCAGGGGTTTATAATAAAGTGAGCAAAAGCACTCTCTGTAGTCACATGCCTAGTTGCCCAATTCCAAGAGAAGGTTGAACTGTATTTTTGGCTCATCATTGATTTTGGTGGTAGAATCATTCAATGTTCGTGGGGTAAGTCCCAGGAAGCCAACATATCTCACTTTATAGTCAGTTACTTGAGGCCCAGAAAGGTGGTTTGCCTAAATCTTCATGCAAGTGAGTAGCCAAGTTAGGTTTAGAATATTATTTCACTAATTCATTCAACTAATATTTACTGAAAGCCTGCATTATGCCCAGCAGTGAGCAAGGCACCAAGGAATCAAGGCTGATTAAAAACACCATTTCTGCTTTCATGGAAATGAGCATGTTAGTGAGGCAGACAGAGATTAGTCACACGAGTAAAGGTTGAATGGTGACTATGATAAGTACTACCAATAGGAGAGGGAGGGTGGCCTGCAGTGATGTTATAGAAGGACTTTAGCTAACAAAGAAGGCTTCCCGGACAAAGTGATTGAGCTGGCAGCTGAGGGTTGATGAGGGAGTTGGGAGTTGATGAGGAGAAGAGAGGAAGGAAGAGAATTTTATGTAGAACTAACAGTTAAGTGTCAAAGCTTGAGAGTGAGGGGAGCATAAATTTGAAGAACTAAAAGACAGCAAAGCTTAAGTAGAACGAGTTGAGAACTTTTAGGTAAGTTTAAAGATTAAGAAAAAGATTATCCTAAAATCAGTGGAAGCAATTGAAATGCTTTTTTCTAAGAGTTGTATTTATTTATTTATGTATGTATATGTTGAGGTACATTCCTTCTATACCTAATACATTGACAATCTTTATCATGAAAAGTTTTTGAATTTTGTCAATTTCTTTCTCTGTATTTGTTGAGATGGTCAAATAATTTTTATCCCTCATGCTGTTAATGTGGTGTATCACATTTATTGATTTGTGCATACTAGACAATTCTTGCATATCAGGGATAAATTCTACTTGATCATGTGTAGGATCATGTTCACGTGCATGATCCTTTTCATGTGCTGTTACATCTGGTTTGTGAGCATCTTGTTGAGGACTTTTGTATCTATGATCATCAGGGATACTGGTCTGTGCTTTGCTTTTCTTGTGGTGTCCCTAACTTCTAGTAAGTCACTGGTAAGTTATTCTGTTCCTTTGGTGGTGGTGGCATTTCTTTGATTCTTCATAATCATTGTAGACTTGCATGCGTGTCTGCCTATTTGAAGAAGTAGTCACCTCTTTAGACTTTATGGACTGACTTTGGAAAGGATAGATCTTCATCTGTGGGTGAGAAGGGGTATACTGGAGTGTGCTGTGGCACCAGGAGCCAAGTGCAGGGGTGTGTGGTGGCTCTGGATCTGGATAAGGGTACAGTGACTCATCAGCTCAGGCAACTGGGGTCTGTGACACCAACAACTCTGTGGTCCTTGACAGCAAGAGCTGTATGAGGGGTCTGTGGTGGCTGCAACCACTGTTGGAGTCCTCAGTGGCCCCTCCAGCTCTGGTGGTCAGGGATGGGGGCTAGTGTTGTATCTGAGGTCAGTGATGTGCATGTACTTGGCTATAAGGGCTGGCTGCTGGTGCGTGCCTAGTGGCAGGTGGCTGCTGCAAGCACTCACATGGCAGCTAGGGGACCAGAGGCAGTTGCTGGGGCTGGCTATGGGCACACATGCAGTGGTGGGTGCTGCATGTGTGGTAGTACATGTATGCATGTACTACCATGCATTTGGCGACCAGCTACAGGGTCAGAGCTGTGGTGGTCAGAGCTGAGAAAGAGGTTGGACTGGCTCTGTGAGCTCACACAGTTGTAGGGGCTGGAGCTGATGTAATCCAAGTGCATAACTGCAGGGGCCTGGCTGTGGGACCTGGCAGCAGGGGTTGAGATCAGCTTTGCGCATGCTCACAGCCAGTGTCAGCTCTCAGTGCATGCACAGTGGTGGTAGCTAGGGCTGCCAGTGGGGTCTTGGGATGTTTGCAGGCACATGCATAGTGGCTGCACTGGGTCCCAGGACTAAGGTACACATAGTGCATGCAGTGACACTTGTTAAGGCAGCTCCAGGGACGGAGGGGAAAGAGGCAGTGTCTCAGGCATCTGGAGTCTGCAAAGGTAAAAAATTGTGGGGTTCTTCAGGGCAAAAGCTGCAGGCTGTCCATAGCAGCTGTGCTGGCTGTTGGTTTCTTCAGGAGTAAAAGCTGCTGGGGTCCTCAGTGAAGCAGGCTGCTGGGATCCACAAAGGCAAACACTGTGGAGACTTCAGCAGCGAAAGCTGGGGGGGGGGCGGTGCAGTGGTGTCCTCAGCAGTTAAGCCTTCCAAGTTCTCTGCAGGAAGGCCATAGGAGGCTGTGGTAGGTCCTGCTACGTGACTGATACACTGTCCTGCTACAGAAGACTGATACACTGTCTTCTATGTTCCTAGCCGTAGCCAGGTATGTCAGCTATGCCAGTATCGCTAGTGATCTTGTTGG